TTTAGTATTTTTTAAAGACTTTTATCATTTTTTAATCCTAAAAATCCATCATTCCAAGGCAATGCATTGGCTGAAGAACACCATATGTGTAGACATATATATATACATATAAATATTACCTCAAAACCTTTTCTATACCAATGAATAGCATTTTTTAAACTTTCTTGATCCGTATGTCTACTTTCAACAAACTTATCCTTATATATCCTTCCACACAAACACAACATGTCTGGTACATGATTTTCTTTTTTTTCTAATGCTTTTTCAATAACTTTCAAAGCTCTTTCCCTATCTCCTTCTTTATTTCGTCTGTTTAATGCAAAAGCATATAAGTAACGAATGGCAGGGGTATTAATATAATTTTTATGCGTAGGTATTGTTTTTAAATCGTCAACTAATTGTACCATCGCATCGTAACCCTAGAACAAATATATTACATTTGTTATCATTTCTTATTATATTATATTACAAATACAAATTACCTGGATTTCTCGAAATGAAATGAGTACATTAAGCACCACTTCTCCAGAGAGAACATTGGGATCATCCAAACGTTTACGCATGTTGTTCAAGGCTCTAGAGAGCTCTTCTCCTGAATAAGTTTCACGTGCTTTTCGTAAGTCTGCTAAGAATTTTTCTTTCATGTGAGCTCTAAAAATATCAGACATGACAATTTATGTTAAAAATATCAATTTTGTTTAATTGTATAAAAACTTATATTTAAATGATACAAAATAATACAAAGACTATTGATTTTAAAATGATAAGTATATACCTGAGAAAGATAAGATAAGGATAACAAATGGATAGGTCTTTTTTTATTATGATCTAATTATTTATGAATGCAAATTAACTTTTGAATCACAGATAGCAACAATTTATATAATAAATTATATGACATATTTTATTTTAAAATATTATTGTTAAACTTACTTGGATTGTACTTCAACATCTTGAAATAATTTCTTTAATTTTAATGTAAGATGTTGTTTTGGATCTATGGATTCTTCACCTGTAATTCTACTAGTTGCTGGACTGGTAGCAACACAAGAACCACACTCAATTACACGATATGACACAAAAGTGTAACTACCACACGACAACTGTAACAATTATTTTAATTTACATTATAGTTATTTTATTGATATATTATAAGAAAGTATAATAAAATATTACTTTGGATTTATTCATGTTTCTCTAATGTTTAATTTATCACTACTACAATTAAACTTGATTTAATCCCTTTGTAAGATATAATTTCTTTTTATACCTACTGCAAATGTATAATTTAAACAATTGAATTTTAATAATAATTTAACTACACATGTAAATATAAATTGCACTTTCGAAGAAAAATATAGAGCAATTTCGATTACCGCGTACTGCCAGCAAGCACAATGGATAACTGCTATATTAAGAGCATGAGCTCATGTTTTTCAGTTCCATACATGGTAGAACTACATATTAGGTATGTGGTAAGATTGTCTAAATGTGCAGATTGTATTAAAAAGAATTTACACTCGATTATTTGTTGATAATATTTTTAAACAAAATTTGTATAATTTCAAAAGTTTTTATGTGGTACTATGAATCTTACGAGTCCTACTTCAAATATCGGTAATAGTAATAGATAATTATTAATTAACGTATAATGATGATAATATATATGAACTATTTAATTATTAACAATTTAACGTGAAAATAATAAAGACCTGAATATAATCCGTTCAACTGTAGATACGAGAATGACGAAGTATAAGACTTGTGAAGATAATAAGACATATTGCACATGTGCGGCGTGCGCGCAAATCATCATCATCATCTCAAATAGCTTTTATCACAATATATATTTTTATCTAAATGTGTGTGAAAGATTTGTACTATTTTTATTAGTAGATTAATTGATATAAATTTATAATTCATATTCAATAACTTTAACTAAGAAATTGAATATAAAAAAAATAATAATTGAAAATCTTAATTAATTTATATAAAAGGCAAAGTAATTTTTAAGAGAATATGATTTAGTAAGAAATGTAGTTAATTAAATTTCGTAACACGTGTGTAATATGATCTTCACTAATTGTAAGATAGGATTGGTTTCATAGTACATAGTTATTTATTAGACCTTTAATTAAGATCATGGTTTCAGTGTGACTATTTTAGTTCTAATAAATGTACAAGGTTATTATACATATTGTAATATTGTATAAAGTATTGATTACTATATTTATTATCGACATTTACATATCTATGTTAAATAGGGTGTAAAATTTCTAGACATAATTTCTTTTATGTGGCTAATATAAAATACTTCTTTTTCCATTTCACATTGATTAACATTTATACAAATAATTTTGTTGTCTAACGCATACTGATTTAGTGCATTATTTTTATCAATTGCGTTTTAAGAGGTCATGTAATTTATAATTGATATTAAAACATACATACCTTGAGTCTAATCGTAGCTTCTGTATCCACATCATTGTGAAGCAAGATATTTTCTTTCATACCAAAGCTTTCCCTAACACCCAAATGATAGAATAATGCAGATTGTTGTAATTGAATACTTAAATCAACCACAGCTACATCTGCGTTATAAAATGTATCTAATACATTAGTTTCTCCAAAATCGAGCTTTTCAAACTGTAATAAAAAGTAGTCTTATATTATATAACATTTAAAATACGTCTATTGTATTTGCATTGTGTGAGTGTGGTAAAACTTATTGTGTAATTATTACATAATTCATAATATTATTTTAATTAAACGTACCTGTATATGATGCATGTTTGCATTAACTAAGAGACATGCTTGCTTAACTTCTTCCAAGGCTCTTTTTCGTTGTGCAAGATGTTCTGGTTGTTGTAGATCTAATACACATGCTACATCCATCCTAGGCCTTCCTGATACCGTAGTATGCCCAGAGACATCGCTCTGCGTTCCAATACTATCTGTACTCGATATACCATCTATTACACTGACTACAAAAAGATTATATAAATAATATCTTTGAATATTACAATTTTTTAATAGAACACATTAAAATATATGTTTATATTAATACCTTGTATATCTATACCATCTCCACAAGTGGACGGCATGTTGATCTTACACTTGTTATGACTGTCGCTCTGCGAAGGCAGTTTTACTCAAATTTATAATTTAACACTTATCTTGTTGATCGATTTTCTTATACTTTTCTCTAGATATTAAGATAAAAATACTTCTATTATTTACTGTAATCTATGATAAAGCACACATATATATACATATATAAAATTATGTTGGTAATATATTCTAATTTGCAAATACAAAATAAATATATGTTTAGAGTTTACAAAATTACTCTTATGCATGAATTATTCTTCGCAATAAGTATAACAAACTAGCAAATAGTTTATGGTATGAATTATCAAAAGCTGTAAATTATACAAGCAAAAATGTTTGATGACAGTCGCATTTGATTTAAGATTGTCTTAACAATAAATTACTTGGGAAAGCTGTTGAATGAATCTTCGATGATCAAACAACATTAATAAATAAAGTGATTAAGTTTTAACAAAATATACCTTTTATGGCGTACATTATAAAAAATCTCCGTCCATTTCTTCTAGAACACACAAATCCGGGCTCGAGGTCGTGCACAAGTACAACCTACCGCAAAAAGTTTCCTTTTATTCGCACAGATGGCGCATGCATAGTTCTTTCTATGTCTCTATCTCTGTCTCTCTCTCTCTCCTTCACTCACTCTCTTTCTCTTTCTCACTTTACTAATTCAAAAATAGAAACACTGAAATATATAATGGATTAACAGAAACAAACATTTTCTTTTAATCCTTACTTACAATTAGTTAGATTAATCGAAATAATATTTCAACAATTTTTTTCTTAATTCATCTAATGTTTCATTAACCATATATTTTTAATTTTTTTACCTAAATATAACTGAGAGTTAAAAAATAAATAAAAAAAGATTAGAAAGAAATTAGAGAAAAATTTCAAGCCAGTTAAGAAGTACTTATCGATCATTGCCTTTATCGAATGAAATGAGTTTTCAATGAGTGCAAGAGATGCAGAGAAAGTCTTCGAAGTTATTATTAGGATAGCATAAATTAGATAGATGGCTGAAGACTCTATACGTTCCTTCACACGCAACGAAAGATCTCGAATGAAAACAATGATTATTTTTTCTCTTCTCCGTCGTCGTTATAAAACATTTTTGTCGATCGACCAGAGACGATGAGGGAACAGGAAAACATGCTAATTGCTAAGTTTACATTTCTATGACACACAAAGAAAGGAAGCTAACATATATACGTAATATATATAGTAAATCTGTTGTTCTCCAAATGCACTCTATGAATCTGCATTGTATTTTATTTTAAAGAAAATTATCTGAGTTATATGTAGTTAATTACACGTTTTTTAATTAGATATTGTATATATTATGCATTATATTATTATAGTATAATATATAGTATATATATAATAATATATATTACTATATTATTATAGTATCCTTCATTATGTTGCAGTTCTTAATTGCATAGTCGTCTACATAATTAATCAATGTTCTTGAAATTTTTCTCTGTTAAAATTTTGTATATATTTTATATTCAAAAGTAAGTCTTCATTTGGAACAATTATTACATGGTGAAATCTAGGCGATCGGAATTGGTTATGGTGTAATAATTTATTGTTAATATTAGGTCAGTCAATAAGTAATATTGATATTTTTAATAAAAAATACTATTATTTTTATTTTAACTATATTGTTTATTTTAATATAAAAAAAGAATATAAAGCATTATCGAGATAATTAGCTGCGTTTGTTTAATATATTATTTAGCTGTGAGAGAGTTAATATATAAAAAGAAGTCTTAATTCGTTGCACATATATATGCAATTAATTAATTAATTATGGTATATAATATATAGACTTTTCTATCTCTTATTTTCTATTATATATTATGTTCATGATATCAAAATTTTCATTGCTATTCGCACGTTGAAATTTCTGTCTCTAATTTTAAGTCAGTACCTTCTAAATGTTTCTCCATCCAATTATCGAATTTTATACTTAAATCTTCTGACATATAATTTTTCCAGTCACCAACTTTGCCTTTTCTTATAAATTTTGCATTAGGATCATTTTCATCAGCACCTTTCTGTTTTAATATTTGTTCTAAATTTACAGCAGGATTTGCTGCCATTTTAGAAAATTTCAAATGTTCGCTAAGCTCAATAATTTGTTCATTTGTTATCGTTTTGTCAAGAAATTTTGTTGTTTTTTTAATTATTTCAACTTGATCCTAAAAAAAAGTGCAATCATAGTTAGAAGAACATAAAACAATCTTACAAGTATTTTCATATAAAAACCTTTTTCAGATCTTCATATTTTAAAAACAAAATATTATCTTGTTTTCTAGCATTCCAAAAAGGAAGCACGTGATTCCAAAATGGCCCCATTGGAGCTTAAACACAAATTATCAACAAAATTATTATCAATTTTTGTATACATATATATGTTCTATAATATTGATAACTTTAATGCAAAATTAATACCATTCTCGTTCATAAATAATTCCGCAAAATCTTCGAAGCTGCCTTTTATATTATGAAAAACTTTACAATAGTGATAAAAACTCACGCAAGTATCTTTAGGATTTCTAGTAATGTATATAATCTGAAAGATATTAAATTTGTATAAGCATTATTTTAGTTCACAAAAATAATTAAGTGTATGCACATACTTTGGGCTTTTTTAAATGAATATCTGTAGGTAATAAATCCCATGGTAAATGTGTTTTAATGTAACGAGGTCGCGAAGCATTTATAACATTTTCAACTGAGTCACCTAACTTCGAAAACCAATCTACAAAATTTCCTGTTACCACAAGAGCGGATCCTCTAAAACATATAATTTAATAAATCTTTTTGTAATTAAATTATTAACATTTTATTAAAAAATCCTTACTCGAGTAATGGATTACGAATCATCAGAAGAGTTTTTGAGGCTTCATAATCGAAATTACTTCCGATACACCATACCATTTCTTGTACCCAATGACTGCCTGTGTGTATAATTAAAAAATATTATAATTAATATTAGTTTAAAAGAATTTTATAATTTATTATTTGTCTCCGAAATAGTTTAATTAAGTTCACCAGTTCGTGGATGAGAAACTATCCATACGTCATCTTCATATATTTTCATATCTCTTATTTTTTTAGCAAAAAACACATAATTAGGTGGTAATAAGCAGGATCCTGGTTCTACTTTGAGAAAGCTTGGTTTTACTCTATATATTTCATCCAATTTATCAGCAGAATCGCCTTCCAATGTTGAAAATGTTATAGATTTTCTATTCACTATAATCATTTTATTACTTTTAGTCAAAATTATGTTATTTAAATTATAGGTATAAATAAAAGAGAATTTGTTTAATACTTACTTGTTGAAATTTCTGTTAAATGCACTCTGATGTACAGTTAAGAGATATACTGACTGAGGAAGGTTCAACGAAAATGCAATGTATGTCAAACCGGTTTCGATGCATTTTAACCGGCATTTCTGCCGGCTTTTTATTTGTTTTTTCAATTTGTACTACTTTCATTTATCCTATTTTTTACATTTTTATGAAATATAACAGTAATTAATAACATTTATTTACTTATTATGTATTTATTTATATGTTTATAAATTTTTATAATTGAAAAAAATAATTTTTGACAATAAGATACAGTAAATGGGATTCACTTATGGTTTTTATATTTTTTAATAATTATCAGCGAGATTTGTACGTTGTTTTTAATTTTATAAACACGCTTATTTATTAACAAATATTTTTTATATTTTAGGATCGGTTGGTTGTAACTTAACTAGTCTTTCACTGATCTCCCAAAATCTTTTGCTCAGGTCAGGATTCCGGATTATAGTCGTTAAGCTATTTTTCTATAAAAAGAAAGAAAATATAAAAAATTTATGGAAGAGAAAAAATCCATTAATCTATTAAAACAATTACGATCAAATTGTTTAAGAAAAGAAATACCTCTATCGTTAATTTTGTTCGATTGCTTAAGAAATATTTATAATTTTATAATTTAAATCTTTAATCAATGGTACAATATTTTCATTTTGTATTTCTTTTCTTATTGAAAAATGAGATCTGAGTTTTGAAACTATAAATTTAACGATTAGTTAATAACAATAACATACCGCAAAATGTCTATAATATTTAACAAAATATTTTCCAGATACTCCATTGATTTCTTCGGACTCAGCAAGATAAATAATTCGTTCAGTTCCTTCCTCGAGTGTTATTCCCAGTGGAAATATTATTATATATTTAACAATCCAATATAAAATATTTGGCGATTTTCTCCAAATTCCAGTATCTATGATACCAGGGTGCAGACAATTTGCAACAACGCCAGTACCTTCTAAACGACGTGCTAATTCTAATGTAAACATTAGGTTTTCATATTTCGAGGTAAAGTAATGTCTAACAGGAAGAAACGAATTTGTTGGATTAGGATTGTTTAAGTTTAGTAAGCCAAACTTATATGCTACCGATGAAACTATGACTATTCGACTCGGCTGTGATTGTTTTAACAGATCTGAAATAATACTTAACGTTAATTAATTCATAACATATGAGTCAGTGCATCAGTGTTTCAATTAAGTTAACGTTAAAGTACGCGTTCATTTAATTCAGTTTTAGCTAGACGAATTTCGCTATCTTAAATTTTAATATGTTTATCAAAATTGTCAAATATGTTCTAATTCAGTTTTGTTCACTTTATTGTATTTGTTCTAATTACCTATTAAAAGATGAGTTAGAAGAAATGGCCCATAATGATTGGTAGCCATAGTTATCTCTAAATCATCTTCAGTAATTTGATTTTGTAAAAACTGAACTGTAGCTGCGTTGTGAATGAGAACATCCAATCTACTTTCTTCTTTGTTTATTAACTCAGCAAAATTTCTTATCGACTGCAAAGAAGCAAGATCTAGTTTACGTACGATGACATTAGAATTTTCTGTCTCTTTTACTATTTCCTCTGAAATTGAAAGAATTTACTCGCTTAATAAAGTTATGTTTACTGTAACGATCTTAGCTTTAGGTTCGGGGATTTTTAGATTTTTGTGTAGAGATTTATAGGATTATGAAAATAAGTAAGCATAGAAAAATCAATGGAAAAGCATTTTGGAAAAAATCTCAGAATTGAAACAATTATATAATTAGTTTTGTTGCGTAAAGCATACAAAGTTTTTTTTAACACCACGACGAGCCGTTTTTGTTGGACTTTTTATTCAATCCATTGACGTTTTGACGCATTAAATGAATACACATATATATGTTAATAAAAAAAGAAAATTGTTCTTTTCACTCATCACCGATTTCAAAGTGAGCGTCAACGTGTTAATTATCGTTATTAGTTCATTATATTGTAAATAAAAAGATAGATAAATGAGATTAAATAATTAATTAAGTTTAATGATTACAAATTAATGATTCATAGTAGTTTAATTCATTAATTTGTATGCGAAATGTATACGAATGAGATAATGTTGAAAAACGATTCAGCAAATGAATTGAAACATTTATTCATTTATTGAATGTTTTATCTATTTGATTAAATAATAAAGATAATTAGAAGATAACCTTTAATCGTATTTGCTGCATCGACCCTTCTACATGCCATAATCACTTTGGCTCCTTTTTTAGCTAAACGTTTAGCCGTTTCCTTGCCCAAACCAGACGTGCAACCAGTAATAATTACCGTTTTATCTTTCATTTTCTTATTACTTTTGTCAACGCCGATAATAAAATTCCAGTCAAATAGATCACTGCAATTGTATCGTAATGTATCAATACAAATTTTTAAATCCTTTAAAGAAAGGGATTATAATAACTAACTAATGTTTTAAGATATAATCTACAATGTATCCAATAATTATATTATTCTTTGTTATATTCATTTAGAAGACATCTGAAAGTTTTTCATTCGTTACTTATTATTTATTTCTTAAGGTATCATTATCTTACACTATTGAGAAAATATTAATATTGTTCGATTTGTTGTATAATATTATTCATAATTTTGTTTATCAAATATTGTTACGTCTTGTTGCGTAATAAAGAGTGCAGTCAGTTTTTGTTCAAGCTGTGAACTCTTTATCAAAAACTGATCTAAAAAATTGTGAGTGTGTTGACGATTGATGAGATTTGTATTTGTGATAGATAGAGGGCTAAGAGGGTAGTTAAAGTAGATAATTGGTTAAAATTCTGTTACAGTGGAAACGGATGATTTATTATTAAAGAAAGATCCTTATTTTTTGTTGTAGCTTATGGTGTTGTGGTGTCTCTGTCAAAACTTCGATCAACAACAATTAAATAATTCTAATCGCAGGTAATAATGAATTTTACTAAAATATATTCTCTCAAACTCGTTTACCTTAAAATTTATTCATCTACGTTAACGATCAATCTTGATAAAAGATTCACTGATTTTACACAAAATGCAGAATACAGAATTATTATTTAAAACAAAATACACACAGATTTATTAATTAACACAGAAGTACTATATTCAAGGGAAAAATTAGAAGTGACTAACTTGCTGATCTTTCTTCTGGATTTATTCCTGTTCCCACTTTTAAGACCAGTTACTTTCCCCATAACGAATCAGTTTCGTAGATAATCGAACTTTGATCTTTATTGGATATTTTGAAGAATTACGTAACCGGATTTAACCTGTTTTCGGACCGATAAAATTGTGAAATTTTCGAGAAAGTTAGCGACTCTGTAAAAAGAAGGTATCAAACGTGTGTAGAAATGAAAGGTTCGACCTATGTTTATTAAAGCTATTTTATTTAGTACAATGTATCCTATATATCATAAATATTAAATGGTTTTTTTTGAACATCCTATATATATATTTATTATATATTATATCAAATAATCTAATGCACACGGTACACTACTATTATGCAAATATAAGTATAACATCTATCAAGATTTCATATGCAGAAATTTTTTTCAACGACTTTCTGAAAAGATTTGTTTTTTTTCGATTTACATTAGCCAGTTTTAGCCTAAAGATAAACAGGTGTGATTGATTAAAGGTTTCGAAAGATCGTATTTACTCTAAGAAGATAGAATGTAATAGGAGAAAGTATCTTCAAGGTTTCTCAAACTTGTTGAGTAATAATAAAGACGCTATACAGAAATCTGATGAACAAAGCTATAAGTTCGTTTTATTTGAACGTTCTATTCGAGAGAGAGAGAGAGTGTGTTAATTGTGAAATTTGAAATTAATTATTATATCGATAAGCTGTGATTTCGATAAAAATTCATTTATTCAAACAAAAGAATGATCTGATATTAGAGGAATTTCGTAAATATTATAGATTTCATTTTGGTAGATGATGTTAATTAAAATATATCGAGACGTGACAATTGTCTGTTAATAATTAATTCGAAATGAGACAAAATTAATCGGAGAGATTATGAAGAACACGAAGATGTGCGGTTAATCTTATACGATATATCTTACAAAGTTAATTATTCAAGGTTTATAATTCAGTGTTGACTTCATTATTATTGAATAGACGTTTCTGAAGCATATAAAAATGAACGACATAAAAGATATGAATGATGAATATGGAAATGATCAAAACGATCATTCGAGAGAATTATGTGCTTGGATCGAAAGTATACCATTCTCGAAACCTAAAAAAAATTTATCACCTCTTTCGTTATATCGAGATTTTTCGGATGGCGGTACACATATTAGATATATATTTATAATACATAAACATATATATATATATATATATATATATATAATATGAGATATTAAATAAATTAATAAATTATATTTACGTTTGTTGATCAGTATTGTTAGCTGAAATTCTCAAGGTGTATTATCCTCGTTACGTAGATATTCATAATTATATATCAGCGAATAATTACTTTTTGAAAAAAGAAAATTGGAATACGTTAAATCGTAAGGTATTAACAAAGATAGACATTAAATTAAATAAAGACATTATAAGTCAACTTGTTAATGGTCATCAAGAATCGATCGAGAAGTTACTTTTTGAGATAAGAAGTAAAGTCGATAAAATCGATCAACCAGATGTATTGCCATTAAGTGCAACGCCAAATTATGAACAAGGTAAAATATATAAACCAATTTATCGTAGTTTTTTTTTTATATGATGATAATAATACCGATTAATCATATTTTAACAGGTAACAAAGATGATGTCAAACAACCGGTGAATATAAATGATGATAATTACATTGAAACGTTGACATCCGAGAATAAAAATATTCAAGAATTTGTTGCTCCTTCTCGTTTAACCATAAGTTATGTAAGAAATGCAATATTTTATGCTGCAATATGGTTGTTCAGTTGGTTTTGCTTTTGGAATTGCTTTATTAATTACCGTACGTATATATTTAAATATAAATAATTTCTTTTTTCCTTTACATTATATATTATTTATTTTTATTTAAACGATATTACCAACGATACTTCGACAACGTTTAATTTTATCAAAGGAATAAAGAAAAACGTAAACGAAGATAAAAAAGTTGAAGTAGATCAGGAAGACGAACACGTGCCACGTCAAATTTGTATTCAATTAAAACAAGAATTACGTGAGAAAGATAATTTAATATGTACTTTAAATCATCAGATCGCTTATTTGGAAGGTGCAATGAAATTGAAAGATTTACGTATATCCGGTCTGATGTCAAAAATAAATTCAAATTCGTATTCACATTAACTTGACACATTTATATTAAACTCTGAGAGTGAAACGTTGCGTCAAATTTTCCTGCTCTCGATATCACGTATATTTTAATTGTGGACAAATTATATAAAAAATTAACTAATCGACGTTTTATAAGATTCAATTTTAACTTTATTTTAATTTAACATAGCTGATTTTGGTCATTGGTACAATAATAAGAAATTTTTTGTCAATGAATCGTATTAGTTTTATTTCTATTGTTTAGTTTGTTATACTTCTGTAGATAAATTACAGTAATATGAGTTATATTGATCATTTAAGTATGTAACAAAGATTATTTTTTATCATAGTTATAACTGTCAAGATTTTATTGATTACTTTGATTTTCAATAGAACAAGGCAGTGGTGGCAAAGGGAATAATCTTTCATATAAAGCCATTCTTTCAGGAAAGATACCCTGTTCCATCATGGGATATAGATTGATGTCTAAATAAGTTTCCTTCGACGATTCGAATCTGTCCCACACGACATTTTTAAACAATTCGTTATCCCTTGGAATGGGTTCACCAGTTTGCACGAAATTAGTCCACATTGTAGTATAAATTTCAACCATTGCTACTTCTGGGTCAGATTGATTGAAATAAGGGAAAATCGCACTCATGTAAAATAGGTATTGTAAATCATCGTGGTGTACAGGACCTAAAAAGATAAAAAATATGAATAATTTCACTTGTCACCACGCGAGCCATGATACTTTCCTATTTTCAAAAATCAGAAAAAATCATGTCCTTCTACATAATTTTCTACTCAACTCTTTAATGAAAAACACTTTAAATGAACAATATTAGAGGAGATCATGTTCAACAGTGGACCAGTGAGGTTGATGATGCTAATAAAGTTTCATCAAATTTGAATTTTTCGATCACGAATATTTCGTTTCGTTTCGTTTTTAAGGTGGATGGGGGGGGGAGGAGAGAAATCATTTTACCTTTGTATGTAGTGGTATCATTCCACATTGAAAAACTGAAACGTCCTTTATATGTAAATTTGTAGGAATAGACTGGAAGTACGTTATTATCAGCCATAAGTTTTGTTACACGATACACCGGGAATATGATAACGCTATCAGCGTAGATCTAAATAAGAAAAAGTTTTATTAAAGAATTCGTGTCAATAGAATGCATGAATGAACATCAATTATTTACTCACGTGAGCTATTCCATCGTATGATTGTGTACCAATTGTTTCATTTCCGAAATAGAATTGTTTTAATTCTTGACTAATATAATTCGAACGAGGTGTATTCCTTTCATACATGAAACTAATGGGAGCAATGGTATTCCATTTTGTATTTAGATTATCGAGTATCGAAGTATTTCCTTCTTGTACTCTTTTATCGATACCTACAATAAATTAAAACAATAAAATTGGATTCTCATTTATTTATTTTAATATATTTTAATATATTTTGATATATTTTTAGAATTATTTAAAATTATTTCGGTCTATAAGAGTCTCAGGACTCATCGTAAATAATTTCGATTGCGATATGATGACAAATTGATTTATTGAATCTCATGGAACAGTTAATATAATAATTACTTACCATATACCACTCCACCAAATTCCTCTTGGTTAAAACCAATGATGAGAGGAACTTTGTTGATTTTACCTTCTCTTATCAAGTCGGCAGGTTGAGCAGATAAAAATCTTTCAACACCATCTATTTCTGGTTCAACTACCGGTGACCATATCATAATCGGATCTCCATAATATTCCTAAATAAATCATATGATCAGTGAAATCATTTTTACGAGCTTACCTTTTTTTTAGGATGAACAAGACTCACGAAAAATTTCGACATAGTTTCGGTGAAATTTTCTACTGGTTTTGATTTCAGACAGGTCAACATAGATTCTATCGTGTCTGTTGGACAATTCAACAATTCTGCTTGTTTCTTGATTAAATGTTTTTGATCTTTCGGATATGGTTCCAAGCCAACATCAGAACCACTCATCGCGATTGCTCTGTGAAATAGATCCTTTGACATCGGTGATAACATATGTAGCAATACACTGACACTTCCAACACTATAACCACCAATAGTAACACAGTTCGGATCACCTCCGAATGCTGCAATGTTTCTTTGAACCCAACGAAGTGCTACGACTTGATCCTTCAAACCCAAATTTCCTGGCGCGTGGGAATCTCCTGAACTAATGAATCCTAACAACAACAAAATATATCAATGGTCATCTGTTTTATTACGTATTCAAAAATAAATGTTTACCCAAAGTTCCCAATCGATAGTTCAACGTCACCAAGACAATATCTTTGTCCGTGATATATTCTGGTCCGAAAAATCGTGATTGACCAGAAAAGATGTAGAATGCACCAGGATGGAAGAAGACAAGAACTGGACGACCTTTGAAATGCTTGCCTTTTGCATTTTCCGATGGTAACTATAAAAGAAAATTGTATATTCATTTGTTTTCAAATAATATGTATTATATTGTGACGTTCCGTTACGTTTTCCTATATAAAATTTATGCAATAATTAGAACTAGACTATGAGTAGTTCAAGTGGAAGGCAAGTAAACCAAATTTTAGAGATTTACAATGGCTAAAAGAGGCTTAGAATAATTTCTAAAAAAACATAATAATATTATATAATAATATATTTATTGTAACATAACAATATTTGTATCTATGAATATTTTTAGGTAACTTTAAGGTTATAGAAAAATTCCAAATTCTTATGCAAATAAGTTTATTTAAATAATTTTTGATTTACCTTGGTCGTGTAGACATTTAAACGTAAACAATCTTCGGATATAGGTGTCTTGCTTAAAGTAGTACAAGCAGGTCCTTCTTGTGTACCATCTTGTATATCATTCCAATCTTTTACTGGAGTTGCAACCTAAAAATAAATAATAAGGCAAGGTTGCAGTAGCAATTGAACTTAGGTATTTTCTCGTTAAATTTATACGTGTCTAATATGATGTGAGGTCATTGTTTGTACAGTAATTCCAACTTATAACGAATTGCGTTTGATTTATAAAAACAATCAATCAATTTGTCACGATGATTAATAATAGTTTTCCGTCAGAATTTGCGATGAGTCAAATTTTTAAGAATATAAAGGAAAGATATTTAAATATAATATAATATTTCCTGATAATAAAACTAGTGCTAAAAATATGTTATCGAATTATAATAAAAATTAAAGTCAAGGTTAACAAAAATATTACGTAAAGGCAGAAAATATTATCGTATGAAAAAATTGTTATCTATGAAACAATTTCATTATGGGCGCAAATAAAGATATATATTTACGATTAAATCAATGATCATTATTATTGCCAAAGAAGAAAAATCAAATAATAATTTTTACCTGAAATCTTCTTTCACCGACTGGAGGTTCTGCATACCTTACACCTCGGAACGAATAGATTTTTCTGCCTAATCTCGAAGTTAAGATAGATCCACGAATTTTTCCAACGGGTGCTTCAACTATTGGATTTTCCAAAGTCGATTCATTCGCGATCGTAAAAACGAACAACCCGCACAAAATGATGAATCGGTACGTTCCAAACATTTTCCCTTTTTTTTTTTTATGGAAAATATTTTCGTTCTTGTTCTTTTTTTGTTCAACTAACAATCGTTTTAATTTTTCTATCTTGTTACATCTGTCGTGTAGAGGAATTACTTTTTTATTGATAGTTTGACTCGAGTACGCTCGAGGAAAGATTGAAACATTCGCAGTCACTGGTAAAGCATTTATACTCTTCATATAATTGTTGAAGGACAATGAAAGTCTGGTAGGGGATATGAATTACCTTATCAAGAACAAGGTTGATTACATTAGCTAATACCCGTATGTCTAAGATCGTTTATAAAAAAAAAGAAAAACATATTTTTTTCAACGAAGTGCATTCTTTTTTTTTTGGATTATGAGAAAATTATTTATACGGCTTAATCGTTACGATAAAAAAAAATGTTTGATGAGATCATATTTTAATAATGTCTCTGATATTTTATTTTTATTTTTGTGTGACGTTCGAGGGAAATCCCATCTGATAGTTATGTAAATTATGTTCTTCTTCTCTCTTCCTAACTTTTTTTTTCTTTTTTTCAGTTTAAAGCAGATAAGATATAACATATATTTTATATTTTGTATAAACTTTGAACTAGATGAGACGAATAAAAATATGGAAATATCATTTTATCGTCTAGTTTGTTTAGAATTGTATTTTTTGTTTCTTTATTTGCTGGTATATTAATAAATAACTAATAAGGTAAAGTTCATAATTTCTTATCGTTATCCTTATCGGTGTATTTCTAACCTTATTGTTTTTATGGAGATTATATAGAATCACATGTGTATTACATATGTAATTCGTCAAATATCATTAGTCGAGATAAGTAGAAAATAAACTAATAAGATTTAAGCTATAAGCTTTTTAAATGAATCTTTATCGTGAATTTTTTTTATTCCCACATAGTACATAATAATTATTTAACGAGTTCTCACAAAATAATGGATCTTCTTGTAATTATCGCGTGAACGTCTTCAGGTTTTATTTTCTTTCTCCTTTGTCTCAAAAAGGTAATATAATAAATAATTTAGGAATATATGGATCGTTAAAATGATTCGTTGAATCGATAAATTACGATTCAATGAATTTTCTCATTATTCAAAATATGATACACGTTAATTATTAAAATCGCATTGAAGTTTTTTCTTTATGTAAAAAAAAATGCAAAATAGTAATAATATTTATTAATTAATTATTTTCTTATAAAATATAAATATGTTAACAATATTTCTGTAGATACGTCGCTTAAACAAATGGTGTATGATGCACATAATATAAATATACAAAAATAATTGTAATAGAGTAATTATATCTTCCTTAATACTTAATAAAAAAAAAAAAAAAACGTTTTATAGTAAGTGTAATGTAGTTTGATTTTTTCTATCATAAATATTACTTTTTTATCATTGTCGAAATTCTATTGATTACTTTGATTATCGATACAATGAGGCAATGGAGGCAAAGGGAATAATCTTTCCCATACAGCCATTCTTTCAGGAAAAATACCTTGCTTCATAGTTGGATTTAAATTAATATCCAGATAGTTATCCTTAACCGTTTCGAATCTATCCCATTTAACGTTCTTAAACAATTCGTTATCTTCCGGAATTGGTTCACCAGTTTGCATGAAATTTACCCACATTGCGGTACTACGTTCGATCATTGGAATTTCCGGATCAGATCCGTTGTAAAAAGGAAAAAGTGCACTCATGTAAAATAAGTATTGCAGATCATCGTGATGAACGGGTCCTAAAAAAATTATAAGAATTGATAAAGTTGATGTTATAATAAAATTTGAAGTACTATAATAATAATGCAATTTGATTTTCGTCTATGAGAATTTTAGAACATTTAAACAGATGATTTCATTTCTAAAATCTTACTTTTTCTAAAGTAATCGATTATTTTTACACGTTAACAAAGTCTTATAAAAATCACATTTTTTCGATGACGAATATTTCTTTTCTTTTTAGGGGGGTGGGGGAATTATTTTACCTTTGTATGGTGTTGTATCATTCCACATAGCGAAACTGTAACGTCCTCTATATGAAAATTGGTAGACATAGACTGGAAATTTGCTATTATCAGCCATAAGTTTTGTGACACGATGCACTGGGAATATTTCAATGCTATCGGAGTAAATCTTAAAAGTAAACAAAAAAGTTCATTAAAAAATTCATATCGATGGAACGAACGAATGAATTTTAATTATTTACTCACGTGAGCTAATCCGTCGTATGATTGTGTACCAATTGGTTCATTTCCGAAATAAAATTTTCTCAATTCTTGACTAATGTTATTCGAACGAGGTGTATTCCTTTCGTATTGAAAACTAATTGGAGCTATGCTATTCCATTTTGTGTTTAGATTACGGAATGACGTAGTGTTTCCCGCTTGTACTCTTTTATCGATAACTAAAAATAAAAATAAAATCTATTGAGATAAATTTCAATAAACATTTTTTGTATTTATTAAGTCTTGAAATTTAATGTTACTTTTAGAGATATTATTTTTATTTTAATAGAGAAAAGAAAAAGAAAATTGTTTTATTTTTATAAATAAGTATTTTTAAACCACGTGGTGGGGGGGGAGGGGTAAAAACGTTGAAAAAATGCTAGTTTACCAATCACTTACCAAAGGCCACTCTACCAAATTCTTCTGTAGTTGTACCAATAATCAAAGGAACTTCATTGATTTTGCCTTCTCTGATCAAATCAACAGGTTGATCAGTTAAAAATCTTTCAACCCCATTTACTTCTGGTTCAATAACCGGTAACCATATATTCACCGGATCACCACCATATTCCTAAATAAATCATTTTTTAGGCTGAATTTATTCGAACTAATTTTCATTATTAGAATATATAAGAATAATTTCAACAGAAACAATACTCACGAAAAATTTCGATAATGTTTCATTGAAACGTTCGACTGGTTGAGATTTAAAACAGTTGAACATAGATTCCGTTGTCTCTGTCGGGCAACCCAACAATTCTGCTTGTCTTTTAGCCAAACCTATCTGATCTCTTTCGTAGGGTTTTAACTTCGTAGGTGAACCACTCATGACAATTGCTTTGTGAAAAAGACCCTTTGACATGGGTGATAACATATGTAACAGTACGCTGGTAGCTCCAGCACTATAACCACCAATAGTAACACAGTTCGGATCACCTCCGAATGCTTCAATGTTTCTTTGAACCCAACGAAGTGCTAAAACTTGATCCTTAAGACCAGCATTTCCTGGTGCATAGGAATCCCCTGTGGCAAGGAAACCTAACGAAAACAGAAATATATCAATGGTCATCTGTTTTATTACGTATACAAAAATAAATGTTTACCCAAAGTTCCCAATCGATAGTTTAATGTCACTAAAACAATGTCCTTGTCCAAGATATATTGTGGTCCAAAATATCGAGATTGACCAGAAAAGGAATAGAATGCACCAGGATGGAAAAAGACAAGAACTGGACGACCTTTGAAATTCTTGCCTTTTGCATTTTCCGATGGTAACTATAAAGTATATTATTTTAATCTGTTTTTATTAGATTCTGGGATAAAACATACCAACGTAACAACTCATAATCGTAACTCAAACAAATCTGTTTAAATAATTTCTTAATTACTTTGGTCGTGTAGACATTTAATCGTAAACAATCCTCGGATATAGGTGTCCTACTTAAAGTAGGACAAGCAGGTCCTTCCTGGGTACCATCGAATATATGATGCCAATCTTTTGCTGGAGTTGCAACCTAAAAATAAATAATAAGGCAAGGTTGCAGCGATAGTCCAACATTTGTTTTTAGGTCTGTAATACACGTATATTTGATAAAGTGTAAGAATATCATTGTCACAGTAAAATAATATATAACGAATAGCACTAAATTATTGTTAACACTTCACAAGCATTTATGTTAAACAACAACTCATTATAATGTTGTATATTCTTAACATTCATTCAAATATTTTGAAAAATAAACGAAAGACGTAGAATGTTGTTTTCCAGAGTATGAATTCTTTAGAAATGTTTTATAAATTATAGTGGAAATTTTCGATAATCAACAAAGTCAATTTGTCAAATGTATATTCGTGTTCAAAGAAATAATATTTTGATAAAGTCCAATGATAATTTTAATTGCAACAGAAAAACATGAATATATATTAATACTTTTTACCTGAAATCTTCTTTCACCGACTGGTGGTTCTGCATATCTTACACTTCGAAACGAATAAATTTTTCTGCCTAATCTCGAAGTTAAGATAGATCCTCGAATCTTTCCAACGGGTGCTTCCACTATTGGATTTTCCAAAGTCGATTCATTCGCGACAGTAAATACGAACAAAGCGCATAAAATTACCAACTGGCACGTTTTAAACATTATTTTGTTTTCTTTTGTTTCTTTTTTGGTGAGGTTGTTATTCAAAAACGATATTGAAATAACTTGTTCCTCACGAGCGTTGACTGCGTTAGAGGAAAGATTGAGACGCTCAGGGACGTTGCTGAAGACTTTTTATACTTCATCTGACAAGAGGACAAAGAAACGAGTAGAGGAACAAAGAGAGGGAAGAAGAAAAGAGTAGGGGATATGGATTATCTTACCAAGGACAAAAATTATAAAATTCAACAACTCACGTCTTCTTAAGGTTACCAATACTCTTTGCAAGTAACAAGAATATATTTAGAATAATTTTTATTTTCAAAAGTAACATTTCACTGTGTTTGTAATTTTTATTTGTACAGCTTTACTTTTTGACGTTACGAAAATTTATCCATTTATCGATCGTGTTCTTGATAATTTTACCTCGCAAAACAAGATGTTACGGAAATATTTTGTCTAATTATAATGATTCAATGAGTTGGAAAAAACTTCATTAGTTTAAATAATATCTTAAAGATTTTCACTTCTTTATTGACCAACTTAATAAAATATAAGTAATCTTTTCACCATAATTTTTGATCATTGTTCCAATTGAAACATTTTTTTTCTCATAGAGTTTCAGTAATACTCACTATTTTGTTTTTTGTTATTTAATTACATTTATTTAATTTTTGTAGATACGTCCATAATATGTTACAATGCATGCGTTTAAAATATAAAATAGAAATTATATAATATTTTATCATACACATACAGCAGAATTTTTTATTTTTCTAAATCGAACAAAAAGAAAAACCATTACATATACGTATATGAAATGTATTAGAATATTTGTATCATAGCTTTAATTTTAAGATTTGGTTCGATCATTAATATCGGATGTACAAGTTTGTGGTGGCAAAGGGAACAATCTTTCCCATAAAGCCATTCTTTCAGGAAAGATACCCTGTTTCATCGTGGGATTTAGATTGATGTCTAAATAATTATCCTTCGACGTTTCGAATCTGTCCCACACGACATTTTTAAACAATTCGTTATTCCTTGGAATGGGTTCACCAGTATGTGCGAAATTTGACCATATTGCAGTACTACGTTCGATCATTGGAACTTCTGGATCAGAACCATTGTAAAAAGGAAAAATGGCATTCATAGTAAATAAATATTGTTGATCATCGTGGTGTACAGGTTCTAAAAAAATAATCAAAGTCGTCAATATTAATGATGTAATCCAAAATTTGAAGTATTAATAAAGGAAAAGTTATTTGTTCGGAAATTTTTAATTAATTTTTTTTTGTTTATAGATTTTGCCTTGTAACCGTGCTCGTTATTTGGAAATCTCAAACGTTTTGTCAATATTTTTAGCTAAAAGTTACAAATTTAGTACGATATTTAAAAAGTACGGATATCTTATTAGTTTAAATTAAATTTTTCGTGGAATTATTGTTTCCACGATTATGCAATAAATATTACATACTCAAAAGATTCTATTTTACATAAGATTGGTATTTTAGGATTAAAAAATTTCTTTTACTTTTGTATGGGGTTGTATTATTCCACATGGCGAAACTGTAACGTCCACTGAATGAAAATCTGTAGAAATAGACTGGAAGTTTGCTATTTTCGGAATAAAGTTTAGCTGCACGAAGTACTGGGAATACGATAACCCTGTCGCTATAAATCTGAATAGGAAAAAGTTTCGTTAATTTATAGGAAATCAATATCGTTCTAATCGGATTATATATTTTGATGATTTACTCACGTGAGCTATATTATCATACGAATTTCGACCGATTGGTTGATTGCCGAAATAGAATTTTCTTAATTCGTCACTAATATATTTCGAACGACTTGTACCTCTTTCGTACATAAGACTGATCGGTGCTACGGTATCCCAATCGTTATTTAAAAGATCGAACACTGAATTGTTTCCATTTCGTACTTTTTCATCGATAGCTAAAAATAAATGAATGCGATTAAATCAACAGAAAAATCATTTCTATCAATTTGACTTTCATTTTTGTCAATTTATCGATGACTAAAGATTGTGTAAATCTCAATCGAAAGAATATACTAAAATATTAAATAATTAAATCAATAACAATCTATTATTATATTATTATTATTATTATTAATAATAGCTTCAGTTTATTTTCGTATTTAAAATATTGTATTCTCCTAATAATTGTATCGTGAAACGATTACGAACAAATTAATTAATTGGTATGAGAAAAATGTAGAAAAATATTGTTATAGAAATTATTTACCGACGACCTGTCCACCAAATTCTTCTGCAGTAGTACCTATGATTAAAGGAACTTCGTTGATTTTGCCTTCTCTGATTAAGTCAATAGGTTGACCAGTTAAAAATCTTTCAGAACCATCTATTTCTGGCTCAATAACTGCTCCCCATATACCCATGGGATCGGGATATCCAATAGACAATTCCTAACAGAAATAATGAAATTATTGAAATAATTTTGAATCAATTTGGATTTGTAGGATTAGTCAAACTTACGAAGAATCGTGATATGGTTTTAGTGTAACTTTCGATTGGTTTCGATCTAAGACAATCGATCATTGATTTTGTTGTGCTTGTTGGACAATTTAAAAATTCTGCCTGTTTTATCGCCAAGTCTTTCTGATCTTGTGTATAAGGTCCTGTTCCTACGAAGGAACCACTCATCGCGATTCCTCTGTGGAATAGACCCTTCGACATCGGTGATATCATGTGTAACAACACGCTGATAGCTCCAACACTCGTGCCACCTATAGTAACAGAGTTCGGATCACCTCCAAATGCTGCAATGTTTCTTTGGACCCAACGAAGTGCTACAACTTGATCTTTATAACCAGCATTTCCTGGTGCATAGGAATCCCCTGTGGCAAGGAAACCTAACAAACAGAAAATAATTTAACACAATTATTTATGTCACTATAAATTTATTTACAAATGTTTACCTAAACTTCCCAGTCTAAAGTTCAACGTCACCAAGACAACGTCCTTATCCAACATATATTCTGGTCCATAGAATCGATATTGACCAGAGAAATAGTAAAAACCACCGGGATGGAAATAAACGATAACTGGGCGCCCTTTGAAATGTTTGCCTTTTGCATTATTCGTTGGTATCTATAAAGAATTATTATATGAAAATATTTTTCGAGATGATTATTATTTTTAACGTTTGTTGGTAAAATTAAGGTCAAGGGTTGCGTCAAAGTTACATGACAAATTGTGACGCAATGGTGAAGTCCAGTTAAATAATTTTTGTTTTCATTCACCTTAGTCGTGTAAACATTCAAACGCAAACAATCCTCGGATATGGGTGTATCACTTAAGGTACTACAAGCAGGTCCTTCTTGGGTACCATCGTATATACCATCCCAATCTTTTACCGGAATTGGAGCCTAAAAAAGAAAAAGATAAAACTAATTATAAGTTTCTATATTAATCCGATATTTATTTAATTTTTTCACACATGCTAGATGTGTTCGAAACGATGCGAGTTTATCCTTGTTATTTTAATCGCGATATACAGTTGCATGTATAAAACTGAGAAATCTAATTTATCAAAAAAAAAAAAAAAAAATCAATTACTGTAGAGAATGTGAAAGAAAGAGAAAGAATCACATCAGAATTCGTGCGTCCTTCGGAATCATTCTAATTCTGATGTATACACATATATCATATTTTTAAATCCAACAGAGATATTCAATTGATCAATTAATTTTGACTCATCCTGTATGTTACAACGAAAGGCACTAAACATTGCTGACGATTATACGTGTTATTGCCTTTTCCACGATGATTCATAACATAATTATATGCTTTTAACAATGAATTGTATTCAAAAAAGGCGTTGCTATTTAATTTTTTCGTTATCACGATTAAATACACATGATTAATAAATTAATCTGATCATTATTTATGGCAATTTATATGATTCTACGGATGAATTGGAAAAAATAAATTGTTGTATCGAATTTGATTAATGTATTTAACAAGAACGAACGTATTATTGACGTATTTTTTTTCGGTATAGAAAAGTATTATTATACAATTATATTACCTTAAATCTTTTTTCTCCGACTGGTGGCTCGGCGTATATAACATTTCTAAACGAATAGATTTCTTTGCCTAATCTCGATGTTAAAATCGTACCACGAATTTTTCCAACCGGTGCATTAACAATTATTCCTTCATTTGTCGTAGAATCGTTTGCTATTGCGAGAACGAAAAACGTGCTCAGTGCCACAACGACGATTCCGCTAGTTTTCGACATGTTTGACGAAATGTTTCTGTTAATCTTGTTCTTGAAATAGCATTTATATAAGCGGTTCTATACGACCATGACAATATATAGTGAATGAACTTATTCGCATGAGCTGAGAACGCTCAAGGAAAGACTCTGACGTTCAAGGACAATCCAATGCAATTTATATACTCTTCATCCAAGAGGAAAAAGATAGACTGGTGGGAAGGGGATTAATGCCGACTATCTTACTAAGAATAATATCCATGTAATTTGAATTAACTTTTGCCTTTTCAAGGTCGTCCGTAACTCGAAGGTTATTTATTGAATATATATGTTTCTTTGTTCTACTTCTTATTTTTTTGTAATCTTCAAATAATATTTAACTGTGTTTTATTTAAAATTTATTGCATTTGAATAGCATTACTTTTTGACATTACGAATATTTATGCAATTCTCAACGAGCCTTTTGTTATTTTAACTCACGATAAGAAAGTACGACGTTTAGTCATAATGATCTATTGATTCTTATTATAAATATGTTCTTTTATAGATAAGAATGTATGTTTCTTTTTATTTTTTTTTATTTTCAAAAGCATAATAATACGTGGAAAATATGACGAAACAAGATTTTAACGGGGTCACGTATTTCATTTATTGTTCATTTTGAATTCTTCAAATATACTATATACGTACTATGAGAGATTTACTTTTTTTTCTCTCTTTTTCTTCTTTGTTCTTCTTTTTTTCTTTTTTTTATTTTTCATTTAAAAAAGATAACAATAAGTAACATTTATTTTATCTCTTGTGAATATACATTCCCGATTTAGCAATGCTTCAAATTATAAAACACATAAGAACATGAACATTCCTTTTAGAGATGAACCTTCGGTTAAAATAACATTATTTTTTATTTATTTTATCTAGCAAAGAGAGAGAGAGAGAGAGTAATGAATTTTTAATAATCGATGATAACATTACTTAATGTGTTTTTTCGTCGTGGTTATTATCATTTATGCATACTTGACCTCTTTCGTATTATATAATCGCTGATATTAATAGTGTCCATATGTTAGAGTTTGAAAACATCATTAGTTTCGATAAATAATAAGTCTCGAATAATAAAGTTTAATCGATAAATATGTTTTATCTCTCTACTGTTATTTTATTTTAAATTTAATATTACAACGTGACACGTTAAAATGATAAAACGGTTTCTACCGACGTAAACATATGAAATCATTATATTGAATTCATATTTTTAATTATGTAGAACATCTCGTGGGTATATTCATTTCTTTTCCTGGGTTTTTCCAACTTATTAAAATAAAGTAGACCGCCACAACATTGAATTTCTCGGAACGGTTTCTAAGAAAATAAGGAAAATAATCGTTTATGTAGAACGCGTATTACTATGAGTTGAAATATAATATATGTATATTCATTTACATACACTATTAAACCAATGAAACAAAATTATGCTGACGAATACCATTATTTCAGGAAAAAACACTCTGCTTCATAATAGAATTTAAATTGATGTTTAACTATTTATCATTGTTCTCGGAATTGATTCACTAGTTTGCATGAAATTTATCCAAATTGCAATTGATCGTTCGGATCAGTGGAATTTTTCTGGTTCGGAACCGTTGTAAAATAGGACATAAATAGAATTATCTTCAAAATAGATATTTAATTCTCTTCCTTTTCAACTTCTTCATTTTCAACTTTGTTCTCTTCTTCTTGCTCGGTTATTCTTTGCTGACGTTTCATTTTAAATATTTCTTCAGCCCTCTTTCTCTCTCTCGTTTGTTTTCTCGCCATTTTAAGATCGATGCAGGGATCAATAGTTGGTTGATAAACGATAGGATCGATTGGCTTTTCTTTTTTCTTTTTCGTTTCCTTTTTATTCTCTTCTTTTGGACACTCTCCCATTTTATACGGTTTCGTTTTCGGCAAAATTTTACCGTATTTCTATTTAAGAAAAAAGAACAAAATTATTGATTTATCATTGAAAAAAATATCAATGTACGCAGTGGTAGGACTTCAAAGTCTTGACCCTTTTATTTTTCTTTCCAGTCAAATTTAATTTTATTCGAAACTAGAAAAAAAACCTATCGATTTTTCTTTTTGCCTTGGGACTCAAAACTTTTCAATCCGTCCTTTTTATTTTAGAATCAAAATTCGTGTATATCGATATCAATAAGATCTAAGAATTACCGGTTTTGGATAAATCGGTTGACCGTATTTATTTTTCTTACGAGGGGGTGGTTTTTCGACAGGATCCTTAGGTTGATTCGGTAAAGCTAATTCGTTGATTCTACCTGTACTGGTAGCACTCAGTGCACTCTTTTTTACTGCAAATGGTTCCTTTTTCATCGTTAAATCTTTGCGAATTTTCGATTTGGCTAACTCAATTGTTCTCGGTGAAGCTACGAGTATTGAACGAATACAAACGATTTTAATTTATCAAAAGGAATAAATTAATGCTCTAGTAATTATGACAATAGATTAAATCGAACGATTGGAAACAAAAAATTGAAATATAAATAAATTTATTATCCGAAAAAAACTCATAAATTCATTCTCAATATTTTTCATGTATTGTTAATCCACTGTCATTATATATATATGGAATAGAATGTTTCGTTAATTTTGTTGTTATTTTCAGATACCTTCAACATTTAAGGCAGATTGTTTAACATCAAATGCATCCCTATATGTTTTATAGGGCAAAGGTGCGTATCTCCAAGCGTGTTTAGCTCGTTCTCTCAGCTTTTTTTCAATTTCATTTTTCTTTTCCTTTTTCTTCTTTTCATCTTCTAAAGTTTTTCCTTCCTCGTCGAGTGTTTTTATCTCGTCTCCTTCACCTTTTTCTGCCTGTGTATCTTTTTTCTTCCTTTTCCTTCCTTTCATTCTTCTTTGTTGTTCCTCTAAAGCCTTTTTACCTCTTATCTCGAAATTTTCTAATAATATTTTCTTCCATTTCTTAGCATTTTTATCGTATCTAGGTTTTAACATCGTGTACGCTGGCAAAGCCAGAATTTTCGTCCATGCAGTAATCTGATGTATTTAGAAAATAAAAAATAAAAAAAGAAACACACACAGAGGTTAATTATAATTTCATATTATTTTATTTTTGTTTTATTTCTTTTATATAAAAGTACCAAAATTTAATTTCAATTTGACACATTAACATTTGCGAATGAAATATTTACTATCTTGTAATAATAAGATTTTATAAACAAAAATGTTCAATATAAAAATTTCAACGTAATAAAATCAATAAACTTTTATATAAATTATTGACGATCAATGAAATGTTGTATAAAACGTTAATCGATAAAATTAACAAAGAAAATATCACCTTGTACTCTAATGCACTTCTTTTAATCCCAGTAGCAGTGAACAATTCATTTCTTTCTTGATCAGTCAAACCTTCGGGACAATCCGCCAATTTTTTCGTTAACTCCAATAATCTTTTTTTCTCGGAACGTTTATCTTTCGTATCTGTTGGTACATCCACAGATTTACATTCTTCACGTTCGACAATTCTAGGCTGACTCAGACGATTTATCCTTTCAGTTGGAATATAGTATAGTGTGGCTTTGCGTATTTTAATGGGCAATTCACGACCATAATCGCACATGCGTAAATTCGGTATGGACAATTTCAAAAGTCGATTTGTTATTATTGCTAGCAAAGCTGCTCTTGATACTTTCGTTTCACTCGGTTTACAGTGTTTACTCATATCGCCACGTTTTGAAAATTTGCTTAATAGGTTGATCCTTTTTTTCAATAAATGCAACGATTTTGATGGTCGTATCTGACGATTGAGAACATAGGAAATAATTATATATTGTTATTATTCTCTTATTATACAAAATATTGTTACTAATAAATAATTTACTATAGGTTCTGGTTCTGGATATTTTCGTGGTTGTGCATTCATTTTTGCCCAAGCATCGAACCGAGCCCAATCAGCTGGTGTTTCCAACCATGTCTTTACGCGAAACTTATCTTGCTTTCTATTTCTAAAATTATGCGAATTCGCGATTGAACATATTTAATATTTCATTTAATATCAATATGAGAGAGAGAATAAATTGTTATATATAATAAATTGAATCGTCTTTTATTTTTTATATTTTATTATTATATTATATAAATTATATTGAGTATCGCGTGATAGGAAAACGAATTGTAATCGTAGTGTATATACATAGTAACAGAAAATATTTTATTATCATAATGCAAAGATAAGGATATTTCGTAGAATAGAATTTTTCCTAAAAGTCATGTTTTGCCAAATTGAAAAGATATCAGGAAAAATGCGCATAAACACAATTTGTAAAACAAGAAAAAAAAAAAAGTCACAATTTTCAAGAAAATAATGACTAAGGTGATATTAAAAAAGTTGTAATATTCTAATAAAATTCTATTAATGCACTTTATCTCTGTTTGATAAATTTTAAACGCAATACACATCACAATATACAAATATAATATTGTTCATTTATTATACACTTTTTAAACGTGGGACAAAATAATATTAAATATAATAAATAACATTATTTGATTATTAAATTATATAAATATGTATTAGCATATTTTTATTAATAAGAATGATAATTTATTTCTCGACTCACCTTGCACTAATTTGTTTTTTTTCTATTATTTTATTCCTTCTAGAAGTTTTAGAAATACCAGGATGTTTAGCAACTCGAGTATCTTTCTTATTGGTACTTGCAACCCTTTTAGAATCAACTGCACCAGTTCTAAATTGAACTACACCACTTTTAGGGGTGACTACATTACGCGTGCGTCCCATTTCCGGTCTGGTTTGTATTCTCGAAGGCATTTCTTTGAATATTTCTAATTCTTTCAACAAATTAATTACCGTGTAATATCGATGATCAAATTTAGGTTAATGGTTTCATCCTGATGATATTTTTTGTTGGTTCGATTAAAAGGTTATATTTTATATTAGACATGATTTAATTTTCATTTAATTATCGATTGAAAAATTTTATTGATACAAATTTTGAACGATTCTGTTCCGAAAAAGGATATGATCGAAATCTACGATTCATTTTGTCTACCACACCATAATTTTATGGTTGTCGATTGTTCCGATCTTCGCGTTAAATTCAATCCTTGAACAACGCGGTCAAAGTTGATTTCAAATTTATTTCTAATTGATAATATTCTCAATTAACATTTCAAATTATAATATCGTAAAGAATAAAAACATTAAAATAGGTTAACAATTTATTGCATTATTTTTTGTCTACATTATATCTTTTTGTTTCATACATTTGATAGATTTTTCGAAAATTATTGATTAACCTTTTCGAAGAAAAAAAGAAAAATCAAAATTTTTTCTTCTTCTTTTTAAAGAATATTATTATTTATTTTTTCTGTTGATTCCCATAGGTAAGATTAGTTTTTGGCGTTAAGTTCTTCACAGAATGATAATAATTTTTATCGAAATTTCCATAAAGGTTATCGTTGTCTATAGAATTGTTCTTGGATTTAGCTAATTCACGCAAACGTTTAGGACACCGTTTGTTTCTCATTGCAGTTATACGAGCGTAAGAATCCAAAAGATTTTGCTTCCTTCCAAGATCATTGAATTTTCTCGATTCTTCGCTACTGTTTATCAATTTTCTTTTCATCGATTTTTCTAATAAAAGCGAAACGATACGATTCTTGTTAAAATTATTAAAGAAAAATTATTTAAAAAGATGATAAATAAATACTACGAAAAAAATAAACCTGGGTTTGATGAATTACTCGTTCGTGCTGATGAACTAGGATAATCGCAAACATCAGATTTTCGTTTAGGTTGTGCAAGTTTGTTCAATGTATCTGTTATCTGATAAGACAAAGCCGAAGGTTTTATCTGAAACGTCGTAATTTTTTCTTCATGTGCCCCCTTTTTTTTCGAATCTTTTTCTCATTCCGTTTTGTTTTTTTTATTTTTTTTTTTATATAAACACACGTGTAACGCATAAATTTATAAGAATACGAAAACAAACAAATGTACATACCTTGTACGGATTAATGTTGCTTGTCTTTTCTATTTTTATTTTCGGTTTTGCTAATTTATCGTATCTCGATGTTTTTCGGGAGGAATCATTAGTACTCATGTCTAATTTGATTTAATTTTTTGTAATAAGCTTCTAACACAAGTTCCAAAAATAATTAGTATTTTTATTTTTGATTTAAAGGGAGGTTGATATTAAAGACTTGTAAATTTTGAAATTTGCGTTAGGGTTAAATTTAGAATGTTGAGAGTGAAAGTGGTCAGACAGATTTGATCGAAACAAATTAATATCGTTTTTCTCGAAACGACGCGTTCACTCGGATAACAAAAAATTCATTTAGTTATTCCCATAGTACAGTACTTCGTGAATCATGGCGTATAATCTTTGGAATTGTTATCTTTGAATTTACAAACCGCATTTGTGCTATACGTCATGTTGAAAAATAATTAAATTATACAAATCATTTACATTGACTACTATTTCATCTTAATTATATCTTAAACATTGATTTTGATAGGTTAAAATTATTATAAAATGTGGAAACAAAAAGGATCTCTCAAATCGTGCTGGTGGTGTCTACCTAGAAAAGTTGTTAACATTTATGCGGAAAATAAATTACCGATTGAAAAACTAGTAAAAAGAAAAAAGAAAAGGAAATTCAAGTCTTCCCTTTTAACAGTAATTACAATTACCGATGACATTTCTATTTTCGTTGCACATTTGTTTTATTTTATGAATATATGAAATAAAAAAAAAAGAAAAATTACACTGTTATATAAAATTTCATTCATTATTACATTAGCGTGATCGTATCAAATATGAAATTGTTTTCCGAACTATTATAGAAACATAATAATGAAGTAAAGGAAGTAGTAAAGGATACGAGACAAATTCGAAAATTGACTCGACCTAAAATTAAAGAAACAAAATTTTTCAAACAAAATTGGGACTCTACCGTGTCTGGAAAAATAAATAGGAAAATGAAAAAACAAACTTTACCTTCGAAAGGTTTCCCTTTATTCGATATTTTCTTTTATATACTTTCATGCGAATAAAATTATTCGCTTATAATTAAAATTTAAATAAACGAATTGAATTTTTTCTAGCATCAAAAAGAGTTATGGAATTGGCGTTACCAAAGACTTTAACTTCTTTGAAAAAAGTAACAAAAGATTTACGAGATCCTTTCAAAGTAAATCCGTCCGCTTTGAAAGCCATTTGTTCACCTAGAATCAAACTACTTGCTAGACCAACGGGATATAGAAAATGTTTTTTATCGCATTGATAAAGCATCATATGCATATGTGATTGATAGATCGCATTAGGTAACGTTAATCATTCATTTTATTTCGTATTATACATAACATCGATGACTAATGTATCTACTGTGAAACTATTAAAAGAAAAAAAAAAAAGAACTAAGTAAAATAAAATGCTATTCTTATTGCGATGATTAAGAAGATATTATCATTACAATAAAAAAATTATTTATCACATAATAAAAAAGACAAGATTATTTTCTTATAATTTCTTATAATAAAACTCACATAAATGAAACATGATGTTAAAAATACAAATATAAAATGAACTAATAAGCGTATAAATAATTAAGTTGGAAACCAAGAATATTGAATAAATTCAAGGAATAAATAATGAACGTTATTAAGTGAGATAGAATTTTAATGAACTAACTACTGACTAAAGAGTCTTCCTTCTAAATTCAAACGTTAGAAACTGGAGAAAAATATTATAATATAAAAATTACACAGATATCTAATTAAAGCTATTGATCGTCAATTTTTCAAGCAATTGGCTGAAATTAGATAATGTAACAAAATCGAACGATAAATCTGAACATCGATTAATTAATCGTTTCATAATTTTCAACATTTTACAGCATCGAATAAAAATAATATAACCAAACAAAAAAAAGAAAAAGGGCAAAAAAAGGAATCTAAAAATGGAAATTTCAAATTAACAAGTAAACAAAATAAATTAAAAAACGTACCAACCGGTTTCTCCAAAATGTCTCGAATTTCTTTAAAATCCAGGGAATCAAGTGTTCGATCGTTGACACGCCGAAAAAAGTAAATATATAAATGCAAATTAAATTAAAAAAAATAGAAATATTACGTAGCAGCATCGTGAATAATAATAATAATAATACTAATAATGTTTAATATTAAAGAAAAAAAATGGAGAAGATTAAAAACATGAAACCCGTCGATTTTTGCTGTTCAGTAGAAGACATCGATCCTCTGATGAGATATGATCAACGTAAACCACCTTATACGTCATCGTTGACCGCAATAGGTTCCTTGCATGAATCTCCAGCAATAAAATTACGCACGCAATACATCAATCATTTGGATATAAAAAAACTAATAACCAAGGGCAAAGATACGCAATACGTTGGAATAAATTCCGAAGATTTGTTTATTTCTTCGATAAATGGAGCAATACAGTGGTACATAGAAGACGAATTTGAATTAGCCAAAGATATTTTATGGGAAGATAGGTTACGAAAAAACGAAGAAGATACGAGAGAAAATGTTCGTATTGGAAAAGCAAATGGTACGAAAGTTACGAATGATTATTTTTTTCTTCTTCATAGATATAATTATTTTTACATAAATATATTAGTGAAAGCTGAGTTGAAACAAATGAAGGGTAATGTTGGACCACGATGGTATCAAGATTTTTCTATCGATCAGGTAATACAGGATTAAAAATGTGTAACGTAAGAATAATTATTCATTAGAAAAAATGTGTGATGAACTATCGTAATATTATTTCAGATGAGAAATCTGATGTCGTTGGAGAATGTGATAACGGCTGATTACAAGCAAATGGAAACTGGTCGTACGCGGAAAATTCTCATGGCCATGGGGATTGTATCGACCTTTTTTCAAATTGATCCTAAAACAATTAGAAGAATGCAACGATCGTGCGATTTCAAGGCTATAGATTTTCTTAGAGAAACTTACAGATTACTTACCGGAAATTATTTCGAACAGGAAGGCTATAGTCTGTTCAACAATTTATATATATATATTTTTTTTGGGGGGGGGAGGTAGGAATAATTAAATTTTCTTTTTTGTTTTCGCAGAAAAAAATTACGATTGCAATGAGAGAATCATTTTATCAAGCATTGCTTTTTTGACATTACCAGAAACCATTATCGAATTAGATAAAAGATTGCCTGCCATTATTATGCCCAAATTTCCACCAAAACGTAACGATTTTATTTATTTTTTTTTTCTTTTCTTTCTATCACAATTTCATTTAATTTTCTAGCTAAACCAATGATGATTCTGCCAAGAAAAAAAGCAAGCTCACCGTACAAGGAAGAACTCTTTACGCGTCCTGATTGGGTAAATTATATGACTCGTTTACAATGTTGGCGAAATAATCGTAAATCGTTACCGATACCAAAAGTTATCTTACCGAATGAAAATTGTCCGATATTTACTTATAAAGAAAATTTACAAAATTTTCATATAAATAATGTCATTGTTGACAAAGATTTATCGATGGCTTTCGAGGATTCCAAAGTTGATTTAAAAAAAGAGAAAAGTACACATATATATCAATACAATTATAAATTCGTTCGAAGATAATTACGTCGAGTTATATTTTATTAAATTTTTCTAGGTACATCGAAACGTGATGAAAAATTAACAAAAGTTAACGAAAATTTGACATTTCAAGAAAGTAATAAAAAACAGCGTAGCAGTGATATCACCAAATTACCGGACGATAATCAAATTTTTGATTTCACGCTTTCCGGATTGAGCGAAAATCAAACTGG